GATAGACAGAGTGAGTGAGTGAGTGAGTGAGTGCCAGGAAAATCAGGAGTTTCAGGCAATTCAAATGAGTATCAATATTTATAGCAAGCTTCAGTTCGCTACAAGAATCTGACCTACTAACGGATCGAGGGAAATGAGCGGGAGATAAGAAAGGCATTCAAGGTGGACTGGATTTAGATCTCATGTTGACGGGCAGGGATTCATGACTGATGACATCTTTGACCCCTCCCACGGACACAGCCTGCTCATCTCCTCCAACGTTGCTAACCGATCCCCTTCTTCTCTCCCCCCCCCTTTGGGTTGTAGGGCCGGAACGGAGGATTGTCCTGGTGGGCAAAACCGGGAATGGGAAAAGCGCGACAGGAAACACCATCCTGGGATTCAGACACTTTGATTCCGTCATGTCCCCTATGTCAGTGACAAAGACTTGCCAAAAGATGGAGAAGGACTGGAACGGCCGGAAGATTATGGTTGTCGACACTCCTGGCTTTTTCGACACCAATGTTTCAGAGAAGGAAACTGCTGCCGAAGTGAAGAAGTGCGTGAGCATGTGCAACCCAGGTCCACACGTCATTCTGCAGGTGATGCGTCCTGGCCGTTTCTCCAAGGAGGAAAGGGAGGTGGCTAAGCTGATCGGTAAAATCTTCAACTTGAACGCCAAGAATTACATGATCCTCTTGTTCACCCGGAAAGAAGACCTGGAAGGAATGTGTCTGAAGGACTTCCTATACCAGGATGACAAATCACTTAAGAGACAGATAGAGCAGTGTGGAGAACGCTACCTGGCCTTCAACAACAAGGCCGAAGGAGAAGAACGGGAGGAACAGATGGCCGAATTGATGACCATGATTGATCGGCTCGTAGACAGCAACAGAGCAGCTCCTTGTTACACAGGAGACATGATGAAGAAAGATGAAAAGCACTATAAAAGGAAGTTATCCCGGTGCTCTATTCTCTAACAGACACCGGAAAGCCTCTCTACTGGATCCTCTGCTCCATGGGGGCAGCTCTCCCAAAAGCCACAGCCCTGCGTTTTCCCCCTCCTGCTCTGAGTTCTAATCCAGCCCTCGCGGGGAGACCTCCAAAGAACCCCAGTCAGAGATTCGTGGCTGACTCTCCCTGAGCTAATTCCTTCTCCTCAGAACCCGGTTTCTCCCCTCGGATGACGGGGACTTCCTTCAGTGGGAAGACCCTGCCCCGCCCCCTCCAGTATCAACTGGCCTCACAGCCTCATACTCTCCCATCCTGGACCCTCTCTTTTGGGCTTCCAATCTCTCAGTCTGTTGAGGTAGACCAGGCCAGGAATCTACCAACACAAGAGATATTAGAGCTGGACTTTATCGGTAGAAACGACAGCAGCAGAATCCTGAAAGTGTCTCCCCTTCGCTCCCGCTGGCACCAAAGCGCATCAAGGCAAGGCAGCCTTGAGGTTCTTTCTCACCCTTTCCTGCTTTCCTGGGGAGAATTCGTCTTTTCCTAACAGCTGCCTGATCTATTCCTTCTTTCCATTGGGCATCCGGGAGTCAGTAGGGAGGGCGTTTCTGTGTCAACCAAAGGGCTTACTAAATCTCCTCCTTGCTTGTGAAAGAGGTTGTGTGTGGTTTTTTTTGGGGGGGGGGGAAGTTGGGAAGACTGTTGAGGTTGGTCCACTCAGCCTAACCATCTCCATGTCTTGGTGGGCTCAAAAGGCCGAGGGGAAAGCGTTTGCCCTTCGCTCCCACTGGCACCAAAGCGCATCAAGGCCTTGAGGTTCTTTCTCACCCTTTCCCGCTTTCCTGGGGAGATTTCATGTTTTCTTCAAGGCCGTCTCCGTACTCTTCTATACCGCCGTCCAACGGCGAATGTGGACTCACAAGGGAAGTCCTGTCTGTTCTTCTTATTAAAATCTTCTCAATAAATCTCCTCCTCGCTTAAGGAAGGGGCCGTGTGTTTTGAAGGGGGGATTTGGGGGAGAACGACCGGGTCGGTCCTCTCCAGTCTAACCGGGTCTGTACAGCAACACACTGACAAAGCTGAGGTGGAGGGGGAACAGGGAACGACGGGGAATCTAGTCGAGGGGTGGGTTTCCCCCAAAAGCTTTTCACCTTGGAAGGGGAGGGGGTGTGCGTGTCCCTTCTGCAACGGTCTCCGTTGGGTCCTCCCACCCTTGCCGTTGTCCCCTTTCACTTTCAACATGTCCCTTCGCCGATCGGCCTCCGGTCTCCTCGCCCAGCAGGCGGAGAAGGAAGGGCCAGCTGTCCAGTTTGGCCACGCCTCCGAAACAAGTTCATTTTTGGCCATCTTCAACTGGGCCGCGCCTCTTCCACGCCACCCCTCCCGTTCCTCCCCCAATCCTTGACACCCCCCCATCCCTTCCTTCGGTCCGGCCCTCTCAGCCCCGACCCACATCTCCAGGTGATCCCAGGGCTTCCTTCAGACTCCCCATAGGGGCAGGGAGTGTCAGACCCTTTTATGGAGACCCTGCCAGAGGAAGCTGGGACTTTCCCCCTGCCCCCTCTCCTCAAATGTGACTCTGATCCTCTAAATTCTGAAGGGTGGGGTGGGCGGGGTCCCCAGAAGCCCTCCGGTGGGTCTGAAAGCCCCCCGGCCCTCTCCTCGTTGCCCTTTCCTGCCCAGAGACAGGACACAGAGGGGGGAGGCAGAACCATGTAGGCCTGCAGAGGTCACGGAGCTATGAAAAAAAAAATTCTTTGGATGACGGGGTGGGGGAGCCAATGAGAGCCATATAGCCCCCCCTGTGATGATGATGATGATGATGATGATGATGATGATGAT